TTTAACATTTATTTATTTTTGAGACAGAGACAGAGCATGAATGGGGGAGGGTCAGAGACAGGGAGACACAGAATCCGAAACAGGCTCCAGGCTCTGAGCTGTCAGCACAGAGCCCGACGCGGGGCTCGAACTCACGGACCGTGAGATCATGACCTGAGCCGAAGTCGGCCGCTTAACCTACTGAGCCACCCAGGGGCCCCTATAATGCCTTTTACAAAGTAAGTGTTCAATAAATGTTTCAAACTGTCCTAGGAAAAAGATTTCTAATTCCACAGATGATGGAGTAAATCACATAATTTATAAGCTTGTTTTACCTAAATATTTATGTTTAGTGTCTACAGAAACAACTTGAAGCTGATGCTGTCTCAATGCGGACAAAAACCAACTCTTTGATGCTTCCCAGAAATGAGTGGTAGCATGGCCTCAAGCATTGTTTGCTACCAAAAAGGAAATGAAAAAGAAAACTGAAATTTAAGTTTACACAGATTCTGCAAGGTAAAAATCACCCTCTCCGTTCAGCTTAGATTCACTTCACCTTTTAATTACTTCTAAGAACCAGACACCAGACAACAGCAGCAGACAACTCTAAGTTAAATGAACTTGCCCAGTGTGGAATTCACAGCTTTTTTGGAAGGGATGTCTCAGCTAGCTCATTTCATTAGAAGTAGAGTGCCCTGGCTTTTCTATCCATACCCACACATGATACCATAACATTCTACATAGCACTGAATTCCATCATTCCTTTTGCAGCCGCACTGTCCCTAGAGGAAAAGCGTTTCTTGCCCACAGTCAACATCAACACACATGAGCCCTGGTCTTATCTCCTTCCAGTGTAACCACACAGTCTGTCAGCCTCTACTGCCTCAACAAGTATCACTTTAGGGGGAAGGAAAGCTAAAACAAGGCAGGGCAGATCTCAGGGCTTCAAAAAATCCCAAGCCACTAAAAAGAAGTTCTAAATTTGTCTATTCGTAAACAGCTAATTTAGGGGAAAGCAAATGATGTTGAAGGTTAAAAACAGGACTCATTCATCTACACTAAGACTTGAAGAAGACTCTTAAAAAAAAAAAGGCAAGTGAGGAATGATGAAAACAAAAAAATATTTACACATTACAAAGCTCAAATCCCACAGCATCTTAGATCATCCTCACCAAGTTTGGTTTTAACTTTAGGTGTTCAACTACAGGAAGAGAGATACCAAAACTACTTTGGTATTTGTTGTGAAGCGGTAGTCAAGGGCACTGCTATCATAACACATAATGTCCCCTATAAGGTCTCGAGGCAGAAGTTTCTTGTCATCCCTGAGTAATCGCTACATACTTCCTCCATTCTGCTAACTACAACTACATGAACTATTTCTTGCCCTGATTATTGGGAAGCCCACGGTAAATTTCTTACTCATTCACAGAATTCTGCTACGCTCCTATGATTAACCTATTGCTACATCCTCTTTCGTAAGATCTTAACTTTTCTTTTTTTTTATGTTGTTATCTTTCTGCAATGTTATTATGTTCAGTGACGCCTCAAATACTTTTTGGAAAGAGACTTGAAACAAGTAAAATGGGACATTAAAGCTCCGATTTTTTTCTTGAGAATCAGGGGGCCAAAATGTATAATCAACTCTTTCTTTTTTATGTTGTAATTATACTGATTAGAGAGAGAGAGAGAGGGACAGGGAAGAAAGGCAAAAACACACAGACTCATTTTTTAAATCTATAAAATAACACTTTCCACTCTGTTAGTATCTTTCAAATTTCTCTGCTGAGTAGGGAAAGGAAGAGATAAAAGGGAAGGGAAAGGACAAAAAGACAAGAGAAGGAAAGGAAACACAGCAACTACAGCTGCCATATAATGTGCTACATCAGTGGCTTTTCCCCACGCATAGAACACTTTGGATTTTGAAAAGTGTTCAAGATGTCATAACTAAACATAAATATATATTGTAAATAGGGGCATAATAAAATGGTTGGCAAAGAATTCTAACTTGCCCAACTAACACAATTGAGGCACATTTTTTTTTTATTTTAAGTAACTTTTACCTGTGACTAAGGACATTATGTTTATACAGTATATCTGTATGGTAATTGAACTTTTCAGATTTCAAAGCTCTTTCCAGATTTTAGTCAATCTATATCCCCCTGCTGAGCACCCACCGCAAGTGAACACTGAATCTATGTGGTGATATGAGAAGGGCTCACAAATAGTCCACACACATCTCTACAGATGCACCTTAGTTCTCCACCGTGGCTGTACCCTGGAATCAATGATGGGCTTTAAAAAAATCTCTTCAGGGCTCTAACT